CCTCCAAGTGGTTGCTTTTCTTCTACCCAAAGTTCTAACCTAACAGATTTTTGTTGCAGTGTATGATGAAACAATTCTATGTTGCTTGATAATTTTTTTATTAGGCTGAATGAATCAACAGCTGAGATTTAATGCAGAAAATGGTGGAGAATCCCACATCATTTTCATTTCTCTTCACTTTGGCACTTGCACACATGAATTTATGTAGAAGAATACTTAATAAGGAGGGAAAACCTATTTGGAAACAGTAGCATGATCATTCAGGAGTAGAGAAAAGATGATGCATGGGCCATATAATTAGCAATAATCTATTTTGCATTTATTTTTCAGGGTTGAAGTTCAGAATTCATTCTGTAACAAGCAATAGGTCAGGCCTTCTCAGTTCCTCCCTGAGAAATTGAATATAATGAGTCTCATGTGCTAAATCTTTTAAGTATATAAAAGGGACACACACACCCAGTGACTCACTCAGAAGTAGACTTTCATGATCATTCAAGGGAATTCAGCTAACATTTTTCTCAAGATTATCAAAATAACTTTTAATAGTCTCTAACTCTCAGATGATTAGTAGCTTAATTTTGTTTTATAGTATGGAGTGTATTTTTGTTGCTGTTTTATAAAATATGAAATTCCTTTAAGATTCATTTACATAAACTGAGAAAAGGAACAATTCAAAGCATTTGCATTTTAAATGCATTACTCTTGGGAGTTCTGGTAGCATAGTGGCTAAGACACTTGCCTGCTAACCAGACGGCTGGCGGTTCAATCCCACCAGCCGCTCCTCGGAAGGAAGGTTGGGCAATCCTACTTCCGTAGTGATACTGCCTCGGAAACCCAAGGAGGGGTCGCTATGAGTCGGATTTGACTCGACGGCACATAACAACAACAACAACAACAAAGCAGTAGAGGCCAAGGCAACTACTGTGTATGTATGCACCCTAAGCAAAGCTGTGGATTTATTTAAACCTCAGAGATTATTAGATAAAATTGCTGAGTGTGTCAAGGGATGGAGGTCTGGCTGGAATCAGCTCTGTCCGTGGTAAACTTTCCAGTTTGACTGTGAGCAGATCTCTTGACCTGTCTCTCTCTCCTCTGAGAAATCAGAAGAAAGCCTCTGTCACAAGGTTTGTGTGGGAATTAATGACAACGTGTAAAACTACTTTGAAAATTCCAAACCACTAAGCAAATACAAAATGATGACATTATTATTATTACTGCTAGTGAAGTAATAAGAAAGGTAAAGATTTTTTTTTTATTAAGCTGAGTTAATCTAAACAGCTGAGATTTTATGCAGAAAATGTGGACAATTCCACATTAGAATCATAATTGACTTGGCTTTTCATACACAGCAATGGGGCTTTTAACATGTGCTCTAAGTGGAAGGCTTTAATGGATTCTCTTTAATGTTTCCATACTTTCATGGGAACTCTAACAATGATTATTCTGCCACTACATTATTTTCTATGAAACTAGCAATCACAGTAACTCCATGGAGATAGTATGCTGTAGGAGTTATATGTTCTGGTCTAGAACAAGGTTCTCAGATTCTTTGACTAAATCACATCGCTGTATGTTATCTTCCTTGTTGTGCAATTTTCTTCCCTCTCCCCTCTCCATCTCCCCTCTCTCCTCTCTGTCTCTCCCCTCTCCCCTCCCTCTGTGTGTGTGTGTGTGTGTGTGTGTGTCATAGGAAGGTAAAAGAACAACTGATTGTAGAATCTTGTAATAAAGCTACAAAAAAAAAAAAAAAAAAACAGTGCCCATCCGTACAGTTCAGTTCCAACTCCTAGTGATCCATGTGGCTGGAGGAGAGCTGTGCTCCACAGGGCTTTCAATGGCTGGTTTTTTGGAAGTACATCACCAGGCCTTTCTCCCAGTGTACTTGAACCTCCAACCTTTTAGTTGATAGCTGAGTGCATTAGCCATTCGTATCACCCAAGGATTCCATAGGAAAGCTAGATAACTTTAAAGAATTCCCGTGATGTAATATCCACAAAACTTTCCCAGACTCTGAAGTATATATTTAATATAAACCAAAAGCCCATTTTGAAGAAATACAATCTTCTGTTTTTTAACTTGGAAAACTATATTACATATTGAAAAGCAGGTGGCAGTCCTTTCCAAAGCACAAGAAGTGCTCAACTAGAAAGCTGCAGGAGCGTTTCACATCGTAAGGAAGCAGTGCGGCCAGCAGGCACAAATGAGAAGGATGAACAGTGTTGTGTGTATGTTCTGTGCGCATGGGCATTGGCACCTGTGAGCTCGTTCATGCCCCCTAGGGACTTAGCTCAGTGTGCCCTGTGCAGGGAGTACTGAGTGTCAAACCCATTAAACCAAACCTATTGCTGTCAAGTAGATTGCTACTGTTAGCGATCCTATAGGACAGAGTAGAATTGTCCTGTAGGGTTTCCAAGTCTGTAGTCTTTTCAGGAGCAGACTATCATATCTTTCTCACATGGAGCAGCTGGTGGGTTCAAAATGGTAACCTTTCAGTTAGCAGCTGAGTGCTTGGCTACTGTGCCATCAGCGTTCCTTTACTGTGTGTGATAAGTTAATAAACAGAAAGCCAGTTTGTGCAAAGAGACACAGCATTAGTCAGTGCTTCTTCAATAGTTACGGGCTCATTCATTCCCTGGGTAGGTCCCTCATTCATAATGGCCTGCTAATTTAAGTAACCAGCTCCAAAGAGTCGCTTCATCTATGTCACTTCCTGCTTCACAGGAGTCACAGCTTTCACCTGCGCAGAGCCTGGCCAAACACATTTCACTAAGTGTATTCATAAATTAGGCAAATACTGGTTGTACCCTCCCTCTGAGCCAGGCATTGTGCTAGGCCCAAGGATTCAAATGTGAATGATGAAAACAGTCCTTGTCGTGCAGGATTATACTCAGGATTACTGCTCAAACTGGAAGGTAAACCTTCACACCAGCCAGCACTGGCAGGAAGTTTTTAGACCAATATCAGAGGATGCCCCTTACCATTTCGGACATGGATCTGGGCGTTCTTACCTACAGGAACGTCTGCATCACTTGCCAGAGTCCCTGTGGATGTTGGAGTTAATACTTGTTTGCTTTTCAGAATATCTGAAGGAGTTCATATACATTAAGCACAATATTTATGAGCTCAGCAAGAAAACCTTAATTAAAGTTTGTGACATAAATTATAATTACATGTCACCTGCAATTTTAAAACAAGTCCTTATAGTGCAGATTCACCCCAACTAGAGCAAAGTGCAGATTCACCCCGACTAGAGCAAAGTTAAGTTTATATTTTTGCCAGCTATGCAAAAAATACTGGATTGCTTTGAAATGCTACCGTAAAGAGAGTTGAGCCACAGAGGCTTAATATATCCTTCAGCATTCTTAAACCACAAAAATTTAGATGGCATGCAGTCCAGAAAGACCCTGTGTAAGAAACATGAATAGATAATTACCTGCTTTACCAGTAAATTGGTTCAGCCCACTGTTTTCTCACTTTTCCTTCTCCCTCTCCTCCTGGGCAACCACTTTCAGAGAATGATCTTCTAATTGGCTTTTAACATCCCTGCAGACTGGATTATGGATGAAATCTGTTGAGTGGTTATCAGAGTGTGAATTCTAGCTTTACTTTACTATCAAAGTTCTGTGTTGATAAAAATCCCAGGAGAAGCAGAGATTTGGGGCCAAAGAACATAGTTGTTTGCAAAAGCATGCCTGGCACAGATCTAGATTTCAGTTCCACATCTCATATCCATCCATCTCCCCCACCCTCAGCTTTTGAATTATTGCAAGAACATATCTGACCACCTCTCTGCTTTCCTGCTGCTCTCCCTTACATTTTATATTCATAAATTAGGCAAATGTTGGTTGTATTCTTCTTCTGGGCCAGGTACTGTACTAGGAAGTTGCTTTGCTCAAGCTGGAAGATAGAATCTCATTTCAGCCCGTGCACAGCAGCCAGAGTAAGTTTTGAACACCTACACAAATCAAGATGGCTTCTCAGTGTTCCTTGAATAAAGTCCAACTACCCTACCCTTTCTGTCCCTCAGACATATCAAACAATTTCCCAACTCAGGACCGTGACAACAGAACACACATCCCATACTCTTTATCCAGCACACTCCTTCTCCTCCTCTAGGTCTCAGCTCAAATATCACCTCCACAGGGAAGCTTTTCATTAACCCCTTTTCCAAAGAATGTGTGCCCCTCGCCATAACTCTTTCTCCTATTACCTTGCTAACTTCATTCCCCTTGTCACTGTCTGAATTTATCCCTCTCTTTTAAACTTGTTTTTGCCTGTGTCCTTTTCTAAAATATAGTCTGAGAGTGTAAGTTCCATTTGTATTTGGTTTGTTCATAGCTGGGTCTTCAGTGCCTGGCACACACTAAGGTGTTTGTTGAATGAGTATCTGCTCACTTAAGGGCCTGGCTTATTGCTGAATATCTTAGTTACCTCGTGCTACCATAACAAAACAAAACAAAATACCAGAAGTGGGTGGCTTTGAAAAACAAATTTATTTTCTCACAGATCTGGAGACTAAAAGTCCAAACCATGGTCTCTGCCATCTCAGTTCCTTCCGAGGGTCTCTCTTGTAGCTCTTGGTGTCTGAAATTCTTGAGTTTCTTTACTTGTAGACTGTTCTCATATGGCATCTGTCTTTACCCTGTGTGTGTGCCTTTGTGTCTATTCCACTCTTTCTATAAAGCACCACTGGAAAGTGAATAATTTCAGGACCCATTCTATTCTTTTATGTCCTCATTAGCATAACCAAAGAAGACCCCCCATGACCATTTGCAATATAAAAACAAGTCTCTGTAGTATAAATTTATCCCCCAGCTAGAGCATAAAGTTGATTTTTTTATATAAATATGATAGGGTCATACTTCAGGTACAGGGTTAGGATTTCAGTATAAGTTTGGGCAATATAACTCAATCTGTTCATGCGTTCTAAGTTCCAACTCAGTTTATGCCATGGGAGACTTGGATATACTTTTCAATCTAGTTTCTTTTTTCTGTTTCAGTCCTCTCTAATAAATAGTGACATTATCTTTGTGAAGTTGCATGCCCCATGGGAAGTCCTTGGAAGATATGCAGAACAAATGAATGTAAGAATGCCTTTCAGGTAGGTGTCCATGTATTTTTCCCCACTCTCTCTGCTGCTTCCCTGTAAACCTAGTGTGCTCCTCTCTCAGAAAAAAATACAACTGAAATGCAGACTAGAAAGCTATTAGAGAAGAAAATTCCTCAAATGTTTAGAAAATTCAAATAAGTGTTCATAGACAATAATGGTTTCATGGCTCTGTGTGTGTGTGTGTGTGTGTGTGTGTGAGTGTGTAAGTTTCTAGCTAATTCAGTCCTTTGCAGGTAGATATTTCAAATGCTGGGGAGAAATAAGCATTTTCCAACTGGCATTTTCACTTCCAGTGGGTGTCATTATGCGAAGCCCTGTGTGCTACTGCTTTAGGCAGCCAGACTACAGGCATTAGTGGCATGAGAGAACATGTTCCTCACTGGCAGGCCCTCTCCAAGAGCATTTAGGGGTGAATTCAGAAAAACATTGAAATCCTGCTTCCATAGGAATGAACTTAAGGGGTTTTATGAAAATGTGATTTATTTTTAATAATATATTTCAAATTTTAACAAAAAGCTCATAAATATGTGGAAACATTGATATTTATTCCAAGAGGAATAGATAATATTTTATGTGAATTGCTTAGTTTCTAAAATAATTCATTTACCTTTACTTCACAAAGAATATTCTTATTTTCCCTATGGCCTATAGAAAAGTGATACTCATTTGCTAGATATAAATAAAATATTCAGCCTGAACTGATAAATGTCAAGATGTGTGGAGGTCCATAATGGAATTTCCTAAAGGAGATGGGGAAGTTTAGTACCAAGGACAGTTCCAAAGGAGGGGGATGACGTATTTTTTGTTTGCAATTTTTTTGCCGGTGACACCAATCTGAAGACAGGAGCTAGGCAAACTGGTGCCAGTTCTGACATATAACTCTTAATGAGCTGTGGAAAGTTACAGAGACAAAAGAATCAGCTACATTTATAGAGACAGATAGAGGAGCTAGGGACACATTTAGAGAAGGGCAATTTCCATTCAAAGGACTGTAATATATCTCCCTGCTGTGTCTTATTTTCATTGTTTATTGGCGTATATGTCCTAATATCAAGCAAAAATAGAGACTGGGATTTCTAGCATATGTTTGCCTCAAGGCAAAATTCTCAAAGTAATTGGACATAATTCTGATACTGTGATTTATTTTTGTATTTCCGTTAGAAAGGAAATCTGAGACTGAAAGGAATTTTAGATATATATATATAGAGAGAGAAACGAGAGAGAGACTAAAAGAGAGAAGGAATATCAGTTTTAGTTTCCATTCAAAATTGTGATACTGTAATTACAATTAATTAAAGCCAATTATTTATTAATGATTTGATACCTAATACAAATTAACACTGCATTACATATAAAAACCAAAGAGAAAGGAACCATTACAAACTATATGTAGATAAAGCTATATGTCAAACCAACATCTCCAATCCAACAGAGTCAAAATTTCACCTTTTGATAAAAGTAAGGTAGTGAAACCTACTGAAATTTATAGATACCCCAGTAGAAATATCACAAAACCTTCTGCCAGAAGAGCATACTTCTCTAGCAAAGAACCCAAGCAAATTATGGAAACTTGAGCAACGTTAATGCGAATCCAGTTCCCTTAGGACCTGGAAGGATTTCATATTTGAAGGGCCCAGCTACAATGTAGATAACCCTTCTGCATGCCCATTACATAGCAGAAAACAGCTGCCTCAGAACAATGTTAGTACATTGTCTTATAAAGCATTAAGGAGCCCTGGTGGCATAGTGGGTAATAACTTGGCTGCTAATTGAAAGATTGGCAATTTGAGACCACCAGTAGCTGAATGGGAGAAAGATGATAAGAAATGCTGCAAAGGTTTAATCTGCCATGAAGAGTGCAGCCTTGGAAAGCGTAAGAGGCAGTTCTGCTCTGTAGGGTGCTATGAGTCAGAACTGACTCAATGGCAACAGGTTTTGTTTTTGTTTTTTGGAATCCAAGCAACAAAAATGAAAAACATAATAACTGTGAATAGTAATGTTTTTATATCTAAGAATTCCTGCATGATGACAATTTTAAGAGAACATCCTGTTAATGGCTAACACTAATTGACCTCATTAAAAATATTGTGATTTGAACATAGCATAGCCTTACTTGTTGCAGCATGATGCATTTAAAATTTATGCTATCATCTTGTCCACAATTTCAGGCAAATAACTCTAGCCTAAGGAGATGTGTGGGAGTTCTGGTGGCATAGTGCCTAAGGCACTTGACTGCTAGCCAGAAAGCTGGCGGTTCAAACCCACCAGCCACTCCTTGGAGGAAGATTGAGCAATCTACTTCTTTAGAGGTACTGCCTTGGAAACCCAAGGAGGGGTCGCTATGAGTCAAAAGCAACTCGACAGAAGTGAGAGTTAGAGCTAAGGAGATATGTGCATGTCCAAAGAAGGAATCCTTCCACTGTATTGTTTCAATAAGGTGTACAAATATCAGTTTGGCTAAATTGTAAATCTTATCCAAAGAATCTTATCATGTTTATTATTTCCTATAGCCTGCTCTTTGGAATCCCAAATTTACTCCTTGGGTTTTTATCATTACAATGGTTAAAGGAAAATTGAGGAATAAGCTAACTGTGGGTAATTCCATTAAAAGCTGCTTCTTAAATACCTGTATGTCCATAGATATGTTTTTAACCTTTCACAGACATGCCAAATAAGTTGCAGAGTATAAATTCCCACTTTCCAAAAGTGAGCTAGCCCAGTAATAGTTCAGAAATTATCTAAATCACATCGGTTTGATGACTCCTCCATTGGTTGAAGCCCAAGTATGGAAAGGGAGATTGCGTTTTAATAAAGCATCTAACCCATGTGCTCTCCATTCAAACTGCACTCAAATTTTCATGTTCAGTGTTTCAAAAAATGAAGAAATATGACAGATCCTTAATAAGTGCAATTTTATGAGTTTTCCCCAGAATTCCTTGGTTTTCCCTATTTAATTCACCTCTAATCAGGCCCATTTGTTAAACGTTTGGCACTAGTGTGGTTATTTACAGCTGGGTCTCAATCCTGGTTAGTTTCCTTGCCATACTGGTTGTGAAAAAAGATATATTTTAAAATATCCATTGGCTTATTCCATAGTGATACCACCTCGGAAACCCAAGGAGGGGTCATTATGAGTCAGATTCAACTCGATGGCAGTGGGTTCAGTTTTTTGGTTGGTATATCAAATGAGAGAAGTGTTTTGTAAATGTGTAGTTCTATATAAATATTAGTTAATGTAATAGCATAGTATGCCTATTAAATTATGTGTGTTGCCAACCTAATCCACATCTACATTTCCCTGAAGAAAACTGACTTCCGATGGATCTGTGCAAATGCAATGGTTCACTCTCCACATGGTTTGTAGGCGAGAAGTAACCATAAAAAAATATGGTAATGTGGAGAGATGGAGATACCCATGAAACTGTTTCATAAGATTTCATGACTCGAAAACTACTCCCTGTGTTCCCACTATATTTCTCATTGTTAATCTCTTTTTAGTTTTTTCTTCTTCACCTCTTACAGGCTTCTATCTTCAATCTCCTTTCCTTCCTTGCTAGTTCAAACTGTAACTGACGATGGGTTTTCTTCTCGACTGGCTTCATTTTTGCTGTTCTTCCAGGAGAAAAATCTATTACCTGCCCCGCCGGTACAAGTTCATGAGCAGGTTAGTGGCATGCTTTTTACAACGGTGTTTGTTTGGTCTGTTAGCTTGTGCTGTCCAGCAATTACAAGGAGCTACAAGCTGGGGAAAGCTACAAGCCTTTGTCAAATGGGAATACCAGCAGTCATGCACATTTCAAAAACAGCTGTTTCAGGTTAGCCTGAAAAGAAGCAAAGATCAAAATGCCTCTCTCGGAGTCTTCTCCACACTCAGGAGGATGCGGTTCATCTGCAGGGGTTGGGCTTTGGGTTTTGTTAGCCCATTCTATCAGAATGGAGTCCTGGCTGTCAAAGACGATTACATGCTCAACGACTGAAAGATTGGCAGTAGAATCTACCCAGAGGCACCTCAGAAGAAAGCTCTAGCAGTGTACTCCCTAAAGATCACAGCCATTGAAAACCTTCTGGGGCACAGCTCTCCTCTGACATCCTTGGAGTCTGTATGAGTCAGAATTGACTCAACGACAACTAGTTTCAGTTATTGGGTGAATTACCACAGACTCCAGAAATTTAGGGCATCTATTTTCTCCACACAAATCCTTTCTTCCTCTATATGGACCTTACCACAAAGTTCATGACTGCTGGGCACCCACAGGAGGGGATGGCCTGTGTTTTTTTAATATTTTTAAATTTACTATGCAGATGTATACCTCACTCAGGAGCCAGAAGCCCTCTCTTCCTACCCTTTTTATTACATCCTGAAATAATTCACAAAGGCACTCTGATGATGCAGTGCTTAAAGCATTTGGCTGCTAACCAAAAGGTCAGTTTCAGCCCACCAGCCATTCCACAGGAGAAAGATGATACAGACTGTTTCCATAAAGATTTACAGCCTTAAAAAAAAAAAGATTTACAGCCTTGGAAACCCTATGGGGAAGTCCTTCTCTGTCCTACAAGTCAGAATCAACTCAATGGCAGTGGTTGGAAAATAAGTCACAGGAGGTAGATTGCATTTACTTTACATCCAAAGTTTGTTTCTCCTTGTATTTTGAAAGGCAGGGAGAAGGGGAAGGCATCGACGATGTCTTTTAATTTGATTCTGTTGTGATCGTTGACAATCTAATTTCAAATCTTCATTGGATCATGTTTCCAGTGAGCTGAAGGTTAAATTGAAATCATTGGATTTCTCTGAAAATCTTATACTATAGTTCAGTTCTGTGAGATTTTAGAATTCATGTTCACGCTGTTTATTTGCTATGCAGAGTGATAAATAAAATAGTGATGTATTTTAGTGTGTTAACTCAAATGAAACAGCTACTCAACAGAGTATAGAATGAGAATTAGCATCCAAAGAAACTTAAGATGTTGCGGTATCTCAAAATTTCCCTATGCAGCATCCCTTACTAACAGTTCTTTATATGTGTGTGTATATATATATATGGACCTCTGGTAGCATAGTGCCTAAGGCACTTGACTGCTAGCCAGAA